CCTGTATTGTGCTTGAGAAGAGTTCTCTGCATATATATATATATATGCGTGCCCCCATGTTCTCTGTTACAGCTACTATCCTTCTTTGTAGAATTCCTAAAATAGAAATAGAGGGGTGGTTCCCCCTCCCTCCAGTTATGTCATGAAAAGCAACAAAGAAGCGGAAGGGAAGGCTACAGAGAGATAGCAATTCCTGCTCTCCTTCTATATATTCTTCAGGATTGAAATCCATTTTGCAAAACTCATTATGTGCTTAATGCCTTACATTTTAAATGTGGCATTCATTTATCTTTGGCACATTGTTGATTCTGCTGAGTGGCACATCCATAATCAATAAGTGTTTTATTATGCTAAGTTTTCAGTGTCATAAATACACATGAGGCGGGCTTGCAGTTATGGAAACTCCAGCGCAAATCAGTTCCCTGTAGTTCGGTTGCTTCCAAAGGGTAAGTTATAGCCGTGCTGTACTCCACCCTTGTTAAGGGCACCGATGGCGGCTAAAATACGAGAGTGCTTCTGAGACAGATTTCATGCCTGCGTGGGCAAAGGTGACATTGAAGAGGACAAGAAAGGGAGGAAGAAACCAAGCAGTGAATGCAAGGAATGAAAGTGTTAACCAGTTCTCCTGTTCGTCCAGCCATAATTCACTTAGTTTGCTTGGAGTGTCTCTTTCAACGTGTTCTGTGTAGAACAGGTTGTATTTGTCAGGAGTCCCTGAGTCAGGCAGGTGACATTTCTAAGCTGTGCAGTTAGTTGGCAGGAAGTATATCTCACCTGGAGTCCCTTAAGAGGAGGATGTATGTCATGAAAGGAATGCTTAAAACCAGGGTCACATCCCCAAAGAAGAAATAGAAGACCGATCCTTTGTTCAGTCTTCCCCTTTTTCTTTCTCTGCCTTTTGAGCTGAAGGGAGGAGATGATCAAACCATCAGTGTCTATAATAAGTAACTTTCCTACTCAGGCAGCTAATTATCATGTAATCATGCCATTGCTGTTCACTAGGTTGCAGTATTCCCCCAGCAGACTGTCCTTGTTGCTTATTGTTGTTGTGATATTCTTTTAGCACATTTCCACTTTGGTTTGGTTTGTAGAGAGATTGAATCAATCAAAAGCAATATCTGTGTTATTTGACTTCAAATAAAACATATTTTAAGCTCTGTATCAGTGTTTCTTAACCTGAGAGTCAGGACCCCTGGAGGGGTTGCGAAGGGGTGTCAGAGAGGTCGCCAAAGACCACCAGAAAACAAAGTATTTTCTAGTGGTCATGGGCTTTCAGTGTGGGAAGTTTGACCCAATTCTGTCATTTGTGCGGTTCAGAATGCTCTTTGATTGTAGGTGAACTATACATCCCAGCAACTACAACTCCCAAATGTCAAGGTCTATTTTTCCTCCAAACTCCACCAGTGTTCACATTTGGGCATATTGAATATTCATGCCATGTTGGTCATGATCCATCATTGTTTGAGTCCACAGTGCTCTCTGGATGTAGGTGAACTACAACTCTAAAACTCAAGGTCAATGCCCACCAAACCCTTTTTCTGTTGGTCATGGAAGTTCTGTATGCCAAGATTGGTTCAATTCCATCGTTGGTGGGGTTCAGAATGCTCTTTGATTGTAGATGAACTATGAATCCCAGCAACTACAACTCCCAAATGTCAAGGTCTATTTTTCCTAAACTCCACCAGTGTCCACATTTTGGCATATTGAGTATTCATGCAAACTTTCGTCCAGATTCATCATTGTTTGAGTCCAGTGTTCGCTGGATGTAGGTGAAGTACAATTCCAAAACTCAAGGTCAATGCCCACCAAACTCTTCCAGTATTTTTTTTGCTGGTAATTGAAGTTATGTGTGCCAAGTTTGGTTCAATTACATCGATGGTAGAGATCTAAATGCTCTTTGATTGTAGGTGAACTATAAATCCCAGCAACTACAACTCCCAAATGTCAAAATCAATCCCAACCCCACCAGTATTCAAACTTGGGTGTATTGGGTATTTGTGCCAAATTTGGTCAAGTGAATGAAAATACATCAGATGTTTACATTATAATTGATAACCGTAGAAAAATAACAGTTATGAAATAGCAACGAGAATTATTTTATGGTTAGATGTCAACATAACATGAAGAACTGTATTAAGGGGTCGCAGCATTAGGAAGGTTGAGAACCACTGCTCTATGTTTTTGTGATTTCCCCCCCTCCACAGACTTCTTACATTCTTGTGCTGCGTTCTTTGTAAATTGCTCTGGCATCCCCAAGGAGCCAAGAAGTTGGTTCCATTTCCCTAGATTCTAGACTCCCCAAAGACTACCCACATTAGCAGTAGAGTAGGCATAACTAGGCTGCTCATGATTTTGACTATAGCAATGTTAGGGAACTTGGGAAAAAATCCATATTCTAAACTCACAAAAACACATACACAGAGAAGCACAAACTTTATAATTATATAAAAGTTAATATTAAACTTGGCCAAACTGAAGAACAGACAACTCTTTCACAACAGTCAGCATAGAAATAAGGAAGTTTCAATTTGTTAGAAAGAACATTTAATTTCCTGTACGCAGATTGTTTTGAGGCACTGTAATGCGTTGCTTCAGAATTTAACTGTTGTAATGCTGAAGCCTGCCTGCAGACATGCCACTAGCTACTCCTTTGTTATGTTAGGATAGTATGATGATTTACAGCAATGGTTCTCAACCTGGGGTCCCCAGATGTTTTTGGTCTTCAACTGCCAGAAATCCTAATAGCTGATAAACTGGCTGGGATTTCTAGGAGTCATAGGCCAAAAACATCTGGGGACCCCAGGTTGAGAACCACTGACTTACAGGCTTGGAAGTAGCCAGAGTCACATGACCAGAAGGATTTGGGGGGGTTGGAGGTCTTGCAATCCCAAAGGCAGCTTCCCAAGCTGTGTTTTCTTATGTATCTTTTCCAGGGGCAACAGCTTAAACTTTGCAGTTGGCTCAAAAGATTCCTAAATAGTTATATGTGGCAAGAGATAGAGAAAGCAGACTTCTTGATTCCACAAAACATTTCAGAGAAGATTGAAGTTGTTTTTTCTTGGGAGGCAAAGCCAGAGCACATCACTTGGTGATACTGAGCCTATTTAAATACTGCGGTTTAGGAATGGATTTGAATTTTACTGTTTGCAAATGCAACAAAAATCTGTATCATGTAAGTATGCTTAATAAGGAATGTATGGCTGAAGTTCCCCAAGAAGCATTCATTTTGTGAAAGCCTAGGTTCTTCTTAATGGACTATATGAAATAGCTTTTAAAAGCAATTAATTATTGATTAAGGTGTGAATTTGTGATTAGATATAGTGTTAAATGGACTGTCTACTTTCTAAAATAGTGTGACTTAAACGACTGCTTTTTTCTACTTTGGTTCCCAACCCCAGATGGGGTCCCCTTATCTCAATGTTGAGGTCCCAAAAATGGCAACACTAAAAGTTTTCTGAATGCCACCTAGTAGGTGTTTTAGGCATTTACACGAATATGTTTTGCAGTGTTTACAGTGCAGAAGATGCTTCTGTTGTACTTCAAAAAAAAGGAAAATCAACCTATTTAGCAAATGCTGATTTGTTATCATTAAAAGTCTGATTTTTTTTACCTAAAACCCTGACTTAGACCGTTTTTATTATATATCACAGCAAGCCATGGTTGAAAACTGGCTTGTTTGCAACATGCAAATTTACTTTTCCTAATAAGCCATGGTTTATTACCACATTATGAATCCATGGTTTAGGTTCTTGTAGGTTTTTT